CCAGCCGGTGACCCAGGCTGCAGTGCCGCTTTAGAAGGTGCTGCCTGGGGCTGCCAGGCAGACGGGCTGGATGTAGGCGGTGAAAGTCACCGGTGAGGAGAGCTTCAGGAGGCAGAGGTCGTTGTTATTAGTGTTGGAGTTATAGTTGGGATGAATGATGATCTGTGACACTGTCCGAGACACTTCATTGGGGTTTAATCCCTGTAGAGTCTGGCGACCCAGAGACACAGTCAGAGTGCGTGTGGTTATGCCTGTGCTACAATCAGAAGAGAAACAAAACAGTGCAAAGCCATTAAAGGCTGAACTGTAGTCAAGACCACATCTGGTTTAGTTTGTATGGAGCCTGAAAGAAGTGACAGGGAGATGTCATTCCCACAAGTTAGTCATTTGTATTCTCATTATATTATAAATCATTTTCTGCCAGTGTACAGTGTAATACAGCCAACCTTGAGGTTTATCCCTGTATCTCAGTCCAAATTTGTAAACTGAATTAAACTATTGAATTCCAAAGGGAGAGAGAACCAAGACAAATGGATTTAAGATTTAATCTCAGTGGACAGCACGATTGACACAATTTGTCTGATGAAGATTTATCTTCTGGGAGTAACAGCCAATGTTTTGGGGCTTGCGATGTGGCCACAGTGTTTCTTGGCCAACACTTCATCTTCATGTGGCGTGATTGTTTACAGTTCAATTAATAACTTGAGACGCAAACGTGCAGCTGGCTGGAGAGTCGACGTCTAAGCCCAGAGATTACATTTGCATCCGCATCTTTTGCTTTCCATGTGGACTGCTTACCTGCATGCAACCAAAGCCTGCTCATACATGATTGATCAGTTTCATTCAGACTACATACAGAAATGGAACGGAAAGATACTTATCCGATAATCTTGTCGCCTGCCCACAGATGTCTGCATCCATATGCAGCTTATTTTGAATGCACGGTTCAGTTTACTTACAGCACCCCACATTCTTTGTTCATTTTTTACAGATCACAGCCTTTCCAAGGGGCGGCACGGTGGTACAATGGTTAGCACTGTTGTCTCACAGCAAGAAGGTAGTGGGTTCAAACCCCAGTTCCCCTGACCGTTCTGTGTGGAGTTTGTATGTTCTACCCGTGTCTGCGTGGGTTCTCTCCAGGTGCTTCGGCTTCCTCCCACCATCCAAAGCCATGCAGGCTAGGTTAATTGGTGTCTCAGAAATTGTCCTTAGGTGTGAGTGGTTGTATGTCTATGTGATAGACTGGCGACCTGTCCAGGGTGATACCCGGCTTTTGCCCAATGTAAGGATAAGCGGTTGATGATGGATGGAACCTTTGCTTGGGAAGTGGCATATGCACGTTTCCAGCCCTGTTTTGTACGTACGCATCATTTATAAATGAGACCTGCAGGTTAGCTCTAAAGTTACTTAGGACAACGATGAACAATGTTGTTTTTTGTCGCGTACCAACCCTCAATGCTTACCTGTAGAAGCAGTGAGCAGTAGTCAACACCCATTGATTGTTAATGAGGGTTCCTCCACAGAAGTGGGACCCAGAGTTTCGCAGACTGGCCTGCCAGGGCCAGCTGCCTGCAGAGGCCACCTGTCCTCCAACAATCTTGGTGTTGAGCACAGGCTGACCACACACTGAAGAGAGACAATAAATACACAGAGTGAGCAATACAGGGTTGACAGCAAATACTAACAATAATGAAACTATAAACAAAACATTTACATCCCAAAAACGTGTTAAAAATGTCCCAAAAGACAGATGAACAGGAAACTTACCGCTTAGTTGTGAGTGACACTCTGAAAATAGAAAACAAACAATAAAACACTTATGAAACAACAGTATTGTATTTATATTTACTGATATGGCTAATTCTACATTGACATATGATATTTACATGGGTTCAATTTTGTGATCATCTGTTATTCTGTTATCTGTAATTTATTTATTAAGTAAATATTTTTGATTTTTGACAAGTAACACACTTTTAACCATGTCCACTCCCAGTTAACATAAGAGGATCATTAAGACCACTAAAGGTTTCAGTGACCAACATTTGAGTGTCAGCTGACTTCCTTCTTTGCTACGTCTTATGACCACTAGAGGTCGCAGCCTAACTATAACTGTAAATATGGGTCTTAATCAGCTGCTTGAAGAATCGGCCTTTATGGCTGTTTTTTCTGGTGAGGACAGGCTGAAATGACCGTATCTTGTTCTGCTGCTGCTTATCTTATTGCTACCACTAATAAGTTTCCTGTCTTCTCTTCTCAAAAACAAAAAATCAATTACATGTTTTTGATTATTATTTACTGGCATTGATGATTTTAGTGATTTTTGTGTAGATTTTAGCCATCAAAACCTGATTTTTTTTGGTCTCTAAATATGTAAATGATTTCTGTTTTGGCTTAAAATGTATATAAGTATAGATGATGCTAATATGTGGGACCTGAACGGTCTTTATAACAGCAAGAACTAATTTGCCTTTAATGTTACAATACATTAAAGTCATCCAGGCATTCTTTTATTAGCTGTATGATCCCCTGTAAATTTAATAAAAACACTTGCTCAAAAGTATTATTTATATGAAATACAAAATGTGCATCAATTGAAAACCATAAATTTAAATATTATATGAAAAGTAAAGAACATCTATATGTGTGTATAATACATTGCCAAGTTTGGGTTAAATGATTTTGGCAGAGATTTGCAAGCTTTGATCTAAAATCAAATCATCCTGGATGACTAACTGTTGAGTGAACAGATGTTCTTCTTCTCCTTCCTTCCTTCTTAAAGTTTTGCATCAGAATCAGTTTTGCAATCAGGGACATAACAACAAGGTGTGGCTCCATGTTAACCATGTTAACCCATTTACTGTACACATCTCCACCATGATGGTAAAAAGCTATAGTATACATGGTGTTGGTACAGTGATGTCAAACATTCCTTCAAACAGTTAGTAAAGTTGCTGTGATCTATCTGTCTCTCTCTATCTCTATCCCATACCCCTGAATAGAAAAGAAAGTTTCCTTCGCTTAAACTAAATCCACAAATATTTCTTAATTTGTAAGCTTACAAAAACTCTAACTACAAGGACAGACTGAACCGAATAAGAAAGCTTCTTTTTGGTTTATGAAGGATCAAGTTACACAACTATACCCATAAAAACAACCCTTTCTCCCAGCTCGTCCCATATAGACGCATAGTCAAGACCCGATGGCGTCAGTTTGTTTCACAACATTAACATTTTATTTTTAAAGTTTAACTGGATGTTGCATATTATGGAAGAAACCACATTAGAATCACATCACACACATACCTGCAATAAATACAGAAACTTTAAGAGATTAAACAGGCTGTGGTACAGTTCAGAAGGCATCATGTCACTCCTCGACAGTTTGAGCTAGACACCCCATTTTTTTCCTGTTACACAAAAGTAAGTGGAAACAAGTGCTGTTTACAATAAAATTTGTAGAAATATTCCCCAATAGAGTGTGTGAAATAAAGGTTGAGTTGAGTGAGAGCTGAGGTTGTGCTGATTCTGGGAAAGTTGGAAATTGATGATGTTGTAAAAAATGACAACTTTATAAGGCAAAACACAAAGCTATGAAAAAGGTATTGATGTGGGCTGAACGCAAACAGTGATTACTGACAGGAAATATTGCAGTTATTTCACTCAGCTGCTTCCTAAACTCCTTTACTATGATTATCTGCTGTGAACAGAATATAGTTTGTTATTTCACTTTTATGTATCCAGGCAACGATTTAAATCAGGCTAAAAGAAGCTATGAGTTCAGTGCAAAGCTATTTTTATTCCACACGACTATAGTTACTGCTCACTTTGCAGATTGAAATAGTTGGTTTTTCCCATCTTTTCCCCAACAATCTCACAGATGACACAGTGACTTTAAGAGAATTTACTCAACAGTGGATCCACCAAGCACTTTCGTTTTGCATATTTTATTGCTACAGTTTTGTAAAAAGTTTAATTTGAATGCAGGATTTGTATTTGTAACTGGTCAAACAGTTTACAACATTGAATCAATGTAGATTTATGCTGGGCTGCTATGTTTTTGTGTTAATGTGCATTTGTTTAGTGTGACTTAAAGGGGCTTTATATAGGTTTTAAATAGAAATCACTTGTTAACCACTTTTTATTGCCTGTTGGTGAACAGGTTGTAATCACACATAAAAATTAACCACACACCTGCTTTCTTGGTCCCTTGTAACAGCCACTATTATGTAAAGAAATGGGGTTGGATTTTCTGCATGAAGGCACAGCGACAGCACTGCAGATAACAACAAGACGTCCGCTAACACACAGACTCCAACACAAAGTCCACGTAAGGATAAAAAACATAGTATGAGAATCCGATCGACACCGAAAACAATGTCAACCTCAGAAAGGCATTTGAGTCATACTTTTCCAATGCGTCATTTTTTCCCTGCCAGAGTTACGACAAGTCTCGCTTTACTGTACTGTGGCTTTTTATTGGCTACTACTCGCCACTAGCATGGGTCCTTGTGATTTGATGCCAGCTGTGAGTGCGGCAAATTCTGCCCGACTGTGCTGTGATTGGCTAGTACTCGTTCACACTAATGACAGAAGATAATGCGATAACAATAACATGAATATAAATGTTTTAAATCTTTATATCGATAGAGGGAGTGCAACAAGAAATTAAAATGTCATATCTGTAAATTTAAATGTACTGATAAAAGCCTTTGCTTTTTGTCTTCAAACAAAATATTTCTTCAATTCAACAATCACTGAAGCAAAAGGCAATTAAAAAAATAACACTGCGCCACACCATTATTTTCCATCACTGCCTTAAAGGCAGGGTAGGCAAGTTGTTTCTAACACTTTTTGTCATATTTGTTGAAACTGTCTTTATACAACAATACATATGAAAATGTTAGGTGCTCTGAAGAAGAGAGTATAAAAATCGGCTGCCTGTAGTCCTCTCAGGGCTGCAATAGACACAGACTGTCACTCTCCCTCGCTGCCATGGCTACCAGCCCTGTTGCTACAGGAGCTGCCCACATGCGCGCTTCCTCTCAGCTCTCTCAGACCCGACGATAAAGCGGTCAGATCGGAGGTAATGTCTGCGTGGCTTTTCTACGACGGTGACAACTGAGGAACACCAAGTTGCTGAAGTTACACCGTGGTCGCTTCATTTCTGCTGGACAGGTAATCTGGCTTTTTTCATTTTGATGGTAATTTGTTTCTTTCATCGGTAGCCAACGTAGCTACCTACTTAGCATACAGCTAATGGTAGCTACCTACTTAGCATACTGCTAACGGTAGCTACCTACTTAGCATACAGCTAACGGTAGCTACCTACTTAGCATACTGCTAACGGCAGCCACGAGTGCAAGCTGGTGGAGCGAGCCAGACTAGAGATGATGAATTACTGTATATGTAACTGTAGCTGAGTTGGAAAACAGCAGCGCAGCTGAGAGCTGTGTTTGCCGATGCTAACATTAGGTAAGACAATGTAGGTGTAGACTGCACCGGTTTAGTTATTCACCACCTAGGGCAGAGGTCCGGATCCGGACCCAGCCGCCGTCCTCTCCGGACCACCGACCTACAGCCCATTTATTATTGAGACTTACTACCTCGTGACGGAGCGTTTCTATTTTAACCCGCGCAGCTTTTCTAGCATTTACTGTACTGGTTTAGAGGACCAGGAAACTCACAGACCAATCGCATGTGCTCCAATCGTCTCATGTGACGCTGCTCAGCCAATCAAATCTGCATACCGATGCTTGCGAGTCTAGTCCGCGAGATTCACCAGAGACGTTTGGAAACACACCCGAATTGAGGAGATGAAAGATAAAAGAGATTTTACATGACTTTTAATCAAGAATGTACAGATTTTTACATGTACATTCCTCCCACGGGCAGTTCAAAACCAGAATATCTCATAGATCTCCAATATGCTAGCTGGAGCTCACGTTTCTCACTGAACAACAGAAAGTAGGAAAGTGGTAGCTCTGTAAGAGGAAATGAAAGAGAAGAGGAGGCATTACAGCTGTTCATTTGTGTGTTTATTATAAAATTGGTTAAGACTACACTTCATCACGTCAAGCTACACTTTTTATTACATTTTTTCTAAAAATTAGGCACTTTAGTTTACTTAAATTTAGAATTTATTATTTGAATAGTTATTATTTATTATCCCTCCAGTTTGATGTGAAAACTGACAAATATTATTTGATTTGACAGTCCGTTGTTGACTAAAAACATGTGTTGATACAACTATAGGTTATAGTACTGAATGATAACGCAAGTTCGTCGTTTTGATTTGCTTCAGGAAATTTTCTCTAACTAGACCTCTTTGAAAGCTAATTGAATACCCCTGACCTAGGGTTATTGTTATACTATGTTTACAGGTAACGTCATTTTTACCTTGTATCTAATCTCTTTGTGTGATGATCTTGTGTCTGCAAGCGTTGTTTGACTGTGTGTTACTCTGTTATATCTTTGAACAAGACATTTTTACAAATGTGGTGAAGTAGCTGTGTGTTGAAAGACATTTCAACGTTAGTGTACATAAACAATGCTGGCTAAAGGTCCACAAGTTTCTGTTGTATAAGCTACTTATAATATAGTTTGGCATTGTTCATAGCTAAACCTACTGGGTGAAAACCTTTTACTGTAATTGGTGCTGTTATGCCATTATTTATTTTACTAGAAGTAAAAAATACTGTATGTTTTATTTCTAATCTGCCCTCAGGTCACCTGCAGATTTGGAGTCTTTTATAGCCCCACTGTGCTTCTCACTAGTATTCATCCACACCGTGGATGGAATTATTTGTGTGTCAGTTAGTGACATTACATCTTACACCCTGCTAGGATTAAACCTCTGTATTGTCCCGGTGGATCAGGATAATCGTTGCATATCTTCCAGAAACAGCAAATTAGTATCACGACTCTACATTACACAGCAGGTCAATGTACATAATGTACACAATGTACATGAGCCAATGGCTGAAGCAGAGTTGTAGTTAGTTGTTGTAATCAGTAAACAATAAAAAAAGTAATAACAATAGTTATGCATTACATTTTATATCACTTTATGTTTGACACCAAAAGGGCTTAGGGGGAAACACCAGAGAAATGTTGAGTACACTGGGAAACAATTTACACACACACACACATATATATATAAAATAATCTCTCACACACACCCCTGTTCATATGCTGTTGCTGGAGTGAAGCTCGACGCAGGTCCTAGAAGATGTGCTCCTTGGCTTGCACCTCGTCCTCCCCGTCCTGCCTCTTCTTCCTCGGACCCCGGCAGCCCTCCCTCTTCTGCTTCGCCTCGACCCCGGTCCTGTCCCGTTCTGTGCTTGACTCTGGGGTGCAGTCCTCATCAGAGACAATAATGCTGTCATCGTCGAAGCTCCAGCATGCAAAACCACGTACATGAGTTTAGCACGAAATTCACGTTCGTGTAGTGTAACTGATGGAAACGGGAAAATGTGTATCAGCCTGTTTTTAGCTTTGCCCAATGTTACCGCAGCTGTTAGCACAGCTACCTGTTGCTAACAGTTAGCTAGCCAGCTAGTTACTGAATCAAATTCAGTCTTTTTAAACCTATCCAAAAATAACATGCTAGCTCGATGTGAGTACTAACAGCCGGGTTAGTTGTTTATTTTCATAATGATAAAGTTAGATGTTTTCTTACCCCTGATGTGAGCCGCTGCTCTGCACTCGTCACACTGTACTCGTCCTCCTGCGGTGTCGGCAACACGCATTCACGTGTTTTGGGGGCGTGGCTTTGGAAGGAGCCCAGAAGGGAGTTTCTCTGTTGGATACTTTCAAAATCCAACAGTTTCTTGCTAGTTTCTCAAACCTACCTACCCTGCCTTTAACCCTCTTGGGCATGGAGTTTCACCAGAGCTTCACAGATTGCCACTGGAGTCCTCTTCCACTCCTCCATGACGACATCACAGATGCTCAATAGGATTTGGGTCTGGAGACATGTTTGGCCAGTCCATCACCTTTACCCTCAGCTTCTTTGTTTGGGGTCGTTATCATGTTGGAATACTGCCCTGCAGCCCAGTCTCCGAAGGGAGGGGATCATGCTCTGCTTCAGTATGTCACAGTACATGTTGGCATTCATGGTTCCCTCAATGACCTGTGGCTCTCCAGTGCCGGCAGCACTCATGCAGCCCCAGACCATGACCCTCCCACCACCATGCTTGACTGGAGGCAAGACACACTTGTCTTTGTACTCCTCACCCGGTTGCCCCCACACACGCTTGACACCATCTCATCAGACCACAGCACATGGTTCCAGTAATCCATGTCTGCTTGTCTTCAAGCAAACTGTTTGAGGGCTTTCTTGTGCATCAACTTTAGAAGAGGCTTACTGCTGGGACGACTGCCATGCAGACTAATTTGACTAGTCTGAGCACTGACAGGCTGACCCCCCACCCCTTCAACCTCTGCAGCAATGCTGGCAGTACTCATACAACCTCCGGATATGACGGTGAGCATGTGCACTCAGCTTCTTTGGTCGACCATGGCGAGGCTTGTTCTGAGTGCTATTATGTGTGCTTTCCGTAAAATGACTTTCCTATTGAGGTCAGAGAGGTTGGGTGTGGGGAGTCCAATTATTTTGGAGGCATTATTTGTGATGTGTGTAAATTTGTTCTTATTGGTCACAGTGAGTATGTTGAAATAACAGATTGAACAATAAAGAAGGATGGGTTGAATTATGCTTTTGTAGAGCAGCAGTAGAAGGTGGGGAGCAACCGAAATAGATTTAAGTTTACGGATGGCAGAGAGTCTTTGTTGGAAGCATTTGAAAGTGTCAGTGGTTAATGATCAAATTTCAGTTTATTGTCCAGAGTCCAAGGTATCTGAAGCACTCCACCATTTCAACAGCTACATTATTGATGCATGTAAGATTGAGGGTGACAATATTGGCTGTGCTGTCGGAGTTGGGTGTGTTAATTAACATTTCTTTTGTTCTTGCAACGTTCACCTGAAGATGATTATTTGAACACAGAGATAAAGTCTTGATAGCTTAAAACAGAGTTTATGTTATTGATTAGAGACCAAGAATAACAGTGTCGTCAGAGTACTTGATTTATGTGGTAACGGGTGAGGGGCTGGTGCAGTCATTGCTGTATAGGGTAAACAGAAATGGACTCAGGACACAACCTTGTGGGGCTCCGGTGTTGATGATGAATCCACTCTGACTGTCTGTGGTCTGTCCCTGAGGAAGCTGTAAACCCAGTGAATGAGAACTGAGAGAACGCAGAGATGGTGACACCGCATAGTGTTGAAGGCAGAACTTTAGTCAATAAAAATAAGTCTGGCGAAATTCGCAGGTGATTCAAGGGAGTGAAGAGCCACTGCATCTTCTGTCCCCCTTTTGGCCTTGTAGGCAAACTGTAAAGGAGGAGGAGTAGGCAAGCCCAGCTGACTCGACAGCGGATGGAGGTGAGTGGACCTGGGGACGGACGGACAGACAGGGTTAGTAACAGGGAAAACGGGGAACAGAGATGTGGAGAACCGGGGTTGATATACAGGCTGAGATGGAGTGACTGCTGGCAGGTGCGGCGGCTGATGAGGTGCAGGTGTGGACGGTCAGCTGGGCTCAGGAGCGGAGAGAGAGGAAGAGAGGGAGAGCACACGCAGGGGAGGAGACACAGGGAGGAAGGCATGGTAGCTATAGGAAAACAGAAAAACAAACAAACAAAAAAAATGAGAAATAAAGAGGACACTCGCCGTCAGCCGGTCTGCCACCACAACATAACATCTGGCTTTGTGCCTTCTTCAAATCACAATCATTGATGAGTGACACACCTTTAACCCTTTCCTCTCTCAGCAACAGACTGTGAATCATTTAGCTACAGAAAAGTTTAATATTCCCCCTAAAAATCAATATGACCAGGAAAAGCTTCAGTTACCAAAATGTCAGTTGATTTCCTCCTTTGTTACGTCTTACACCCACTAGAGGTCACACATCATCCATAAATAAAACATGCACTACTGCACTACTCACCATTGAAATGCATTTCTGTACATACAACAAGTCTGAGGGGCCTGAGGAAACCGGTCTGAGGAGGAGAAATGAGGTCTAAGCGTCTGCAGTTGGACCTTTTTGGCGCTCCACATTTCACTGAGTAATGTGGAGCAAAAGTGAGCGTGTGCAGAACTTTGTGAGTCATGAGTGAAAACACAGCATTTGAGACTCGTAGCTACAGATTCAACAGATTAAAGATGTTGTAGTTAGTGACTTTTGTTTGAACAAGAACAATATTCAAGATTTTTCTTAATATGAAATGAAAATATTCACTTCAGCAACTGTAGCAAAAAATGTTCAATTTGTTTTATTTTGATACATGCATGTGGCTACAAAACACAACTTCAGCCTCCAAAATGACCATACAGTTGAATCAGCACATCTCTAAAACAGTTTCAACACAAACAGATTATAACCATCATGAAGGAGGATTTCCTGCAGGACATTTAGATTAGACTGCATGAGTTGAGTTCATACATGTGCTCAAAGCCGACAGAAAGGATTTCCCTTAATTAAAAACCAGGTTATTGTGATAAAAAAAAATTCCAAAGGGGTTAATAGTTCAGCACTTTCACATCTACAGGACAGTTGTTGCCACAGCAAAACTTGACAAGACTTAATATTGACATTTATCTTTCAAACCAAATTATTAATGTAAAGTTCAGTTTAAGAATTTTTTAGAGCAAAAGCTGCTTGTTCACTTTAGATATAATTGTACAGTAAGGTACACTAGCTCCAATAGGTAGATAATGGACATGTGTTCCTCTGACCTCTAAAATATGTTCCTTAAGTTTTTTAATCCATTTGTTAACGACTGTAAGAAATTCACGACAGCATGAGTTTAATTCTATCTGCAATGTAATCAATAAACACCATCCTGTTTTCAGTTATTTGAAGGGGAAATTTTATGTAAATGACAAATTATCATCTTGTCTTTGCGTAACAGCTGGATCCTTCAAAAACCTCGACACGCTGGTACGCCAGGCTACATATACCTACATTTGTTCAGTGCTGCTTAAACAATTCATCGTCATTCATTTATTCATTTTATACCCATCATTTTAGAGAGAAAGCAGATGAGGAATTGGAAGAAGAAGAAGGGGGAGTGAGCAGGAGCGCCCCCGCTGGTAGTTGGTATGTTGCCGGCAGCTGTGCTGTTGCTGTTGTTGCTGGTGGTGTTGGTGTCTGAGCCAGGAAGGTGGTGTTGTTTCCAACTAACAACACTGCTGCCTGGAACCAAGAGCCGCTCTGCTCACCGCCAGATCACCCTGAACAAACAAACAGGACAGATGTGTTCAAGTCCAACTTTCTGTGAAACGGAAAATAATGTTGTGTTTTCTTTTTTTTTGTTTGTTTATCCAAATGCACTATAAGGTCAAAATACAATTTTGCCTTCTCACCAAGCTCTCTTGTGAGTGTGTAAAGTGAATAAGCATATTTCCAGAAAGGCCTTGAAATGTGCTCATTTTAAAGCGAAACTATGCAACTTTTCCTGATCAGCAGTCACTGTAGTTCCATGAGGCATTTATTGAATAATGGAAAATGATCTAATGAAACAGTAGTGAGAGTTTAGAAGAGTTGATTAAGAAAAAAGCTCAGGTCTAGGTTAGTTGAAATCCCAACTTTAAAAATCTTTGCTAAAATAGTCAGCAACTCGGAAAAAGCTCACTGGAGTCAGTCAAATATTGGTGAAATACAATGTGGCGCTGTAGCTCTCTTGTGGGCGATGTAAAAACACTGTTCTCAGACACGGTTTGCTTCAGTTGACAAAAAGTATAATACACAGATTCTGTTCTTCATCATTCTCTATCTCCATTTAAACCAAAGTAAAGTGACCTGTATGCCGTTATAATCAAGATCTCATATGATTTGTTAGGATGCAGCACAAAAACAGCACTTGCTCCCCTGGAGCAACAGAACCACATAAAACAACATCAATATACCGTCAGTATTAAATAGCCAGTACTCCGACTAAATCCATCCATTTTAGCAACTTTTTACCATATCGAGGTTAAGAAACCACCAACAAATGAATTATTTAATGTCAGTCGAGTGATCGCTAACCTGACAACCTGCCTCCCTTTTCATGTCTGTCACATGTGCTCAGTGTGAACCTGCCCTCATCTGTGAAGAGAACAGGGAACCAATGGCAGGCCTGTGAATTCTAGTGTTCGCTAGCGAATTCCAATTGAGCTGAACGGGCTGCAAGTATCGCCTCATACTACCAGTAGTGACAAGGACACTAGCAAAACACAAAACTGGAGAGCAAGTCAGGAAGGATAAGGAGAGAGCTACTGTCAGTGGCCTCCACCTACAAAACCATTTATCCTTCTAGGGTTGTCTGGCTGTTGCCTCTCCTCTGCACCTGTTTTTACTTTAACTTGCACTAAAACAAGTGACATTGATTCACAACCGCTTATGCTTCCTAACAGGACCGATTGATATTAATAAAGTTATTGAAATTGTAACAATTATGAATAATTGTGTGTGAGAAATGGTGAGCAGACCAACAAAGCTTAAACCAAAGGGGTTATGAACCAAAATGGGGATACTCTCTACCTGTCGTCACCAAATTGGCATGAAGCACAGCTGGAGGTTGGACTAAAGGCTGAGGGTTTCAGATGTGTGGGTGCAAGTAAAGCGCAAGTGTGTGTGTATGATGTATGTAAGTCCTGATTGACGTAGTTAGATACAATGTGACTAATACTTTGTCACACAGAACTCACCAGTGAACTTGCATTCATGGCCGTGGTCCTGCATTTTGGTCATAATAAAGAAAAACATTTTAAATCTCTCTAAGAGGTTTCTAAATAAAAAATAAAAAGTCTGGACAGGGCTGGCACTTACGTTAGGGTGTGTTTTTTGGTGGTGTACAGGTGACGCTGAGGTCACCGTCAGTCCCAGTGGACATGAAGGTGTAGTAGCCTGGCTGGAAGCTGGTGATCTGGCTGTTGATCCAGGACTGATACTGGGACACTCGGGCGTAGCCTGATGGGATATTCGGCAGGGCACAGCCTCTACTACTGGTAAAACTCGTGATTCCCCCCTGGATCCAGCGACCGCCCTGCTTGCTCACCAGCGCACCTCCTGAATCCCCCTATAAGAAAAGAAACATCTTAGAGAAGGATTCTTTGCAAAATGTGAAATCGGACACAAACACAGGTGTAAAAAATATCACCTGACAGATGTCCTTTCCTCCAGTAGTGAACCCGGTGCACATCATGTTGTTTGTGATTAAGCCTGCTATGTAGCTACAGCTACACTGTCTGTTCCCCACAATTGGCAGCTGCACCTCCATGAGGTTTCCTGGGGATGGAAGGGACACTAAAGAGACACAAATTTAGTTTAGTAAACAACACAAGTGGTGAAATGTGGTTTCAAATGGTTTCACACACAATGGACAGTTCTATATATCATACAGGCTTTGTCCTCTAAGGCTATCGCTAGTTGGTTTATCCTTCGCACATACAAGCAGTGCTGAAAGAGCCTTTTTCACGCCCGTCTGCATGATTGGCCACCACAAATGGTCTCATCCTGTCTATAAATTGGAGACAATCTATCAAAGCCAATGTTCAGTTTTAGGCTTTCTGTTTATTTCATCATCTGATATCCTTTAACACTACTCCATAAATTTATTTGCAAGTCACATCACCGATCGATCACTGCGTTCATTCATATCAATCCAATGATTTTTTTTTTGTTGTAGTGCGGCAGTGCTTTCATTAATACATTTCATTAGCTGATTTTAGAGGGCTCTGCTCCACCGTGTCACACAGCACAATATCTTGACAGCCTTGAATGAATGATGTTAGCTGGTCATGTGGTGGTTCCTCTGGTCTTCGCCACATGAGGTTCATTTGACATTTCGACCTCACACGTTACATCTCTCTGACGGGGGGGGGGTATTTAGTAAAACCATATGTTATTGTGAGTTGGCCACTGACAGATGACATGGAAATGTAAGTCAAGAGTGTGAAACATTGTCACTTCATTCTCTCTGTGATTATGGATCCTTGCAAAAACTACTGCCCGAACTTAATATTATTATTATGGTGCTTTGAAAGCGGCAAAAATTATGAATAAATAAATACTTGATGATAATGGTTCTGAAATCGATCTCAGTCATGACAGCACACAATCACTTTTTCTTTATTGGTTCTGCCTGCAAAATTAAAGCCCGCTTGTTTGCTGTCAAGCTTACTTAGAGTTGAATTGAGAGCTTTTATTATATTATATAAATGTTGCCTTGCTTTTGGCTTTGACATCACCTAAAAAAGTTGGTAATCTATCTGCTTTCTCTGTGGCCTCTTCATGCCTCAGAATTCAGGGCGATGGCCGTTTTGCGCTCCAGCTTTAACAGCCAACTCTTTCAGATCGAGGGTTATTACTTTGTGGGTTCACCTGTCTGCTCAGCTCCCGTCTCGCTGGCTGTTTGAAGCTTTAGGCGTATCTGTCTTCTGAGATGGAAGCTCCAGAGGGCATCAGAGTGCACTCAACCAGAGGAATCTCAAACTCTATGGCGCTGCACAGAGGAATGACAGTGGAAGACATTTGCACTTCTTTGTCTTCCCCTTGTTCTTTTATTTGGTTCTATCTGCGGGACGTCTCCCACTTCTCCTTGACTCACTCTGTGCTGAGTGTTGCTGTCAGTGAATGTGCTCGTACCCCTTCCTACCTGCCTGTTGACACATGGAGAGCTGTCCTCCATGTTGGCCCTACTCCACTCACCACTTATAAACTTAAACTTATTCACAAAACTGTTTGTTAATGTCACAGACAGATTATGATGAAAGGATCCCTACAGCCAGTTAGGTACAGGAAGGTTTTGTTGCTCCCCTGGGTAAAGGAGGAACATTTTTACATGGAAAATTCTGAAAACACAGTTGTTGTCACCATTGTAGTTATACTGTCTCTGAAAATAAATGTAATCCAGGTGCTTTCTGACCCACCTCCAGTTCCAACATTGCCCCAGCCGGTGGCCCAGGTGAGAGTCCCCTTGTAGAAGGTGCTGCCTGGAGCTGCCAGGCAGACGGGCTGGATGTAGGAAGTGAAAGCCACCGGTGAGGAGAGCTTCAGGAGGCAGATGTCGTTATCCAAATTTGCGGAGTTATAGTTGGGATGAATGATGATCTGTGATACTATCCGAGACGCTTGATTGGGGTTTGATCCCTGTAGACTCTGAAGACCCAGAACCACAGTCAGAGTGCTCGTGGTTATGCCTGTGCTGTAATCAGAAGAGAAACAAAACAGTGCAAAGTCATTTAAAACAGAACTGTAGTCCAGATCTCTTTAGCGGAAATGAAGTCGACTTTAAGACCATGTCTAGTCTAGTTTGTATGGAGCCTGATAGATGTTGCAACAGGGAGATATCATTACCACAACTTAGTCGTTCATGCGCTCAATTTACTTTTTCATGACCTCAAGTCCTAATTAGAGAAGCTGTTCCCTAAAATTTATAATTATCATTCAATCTGCACATACAGCCCATGTTCTTCACATGCATTGCAGTGGAAACTTTCAGAAAACTAAGGATTAATTTCCAAGTGTACATATCAGAAGACGTTAGCAAGAATAAATGTCATAAAACTCGTAGTTAACGTTGTCAGATGTTGTGATTTGGTTAAGTTTAGGCAACAAAACTACTTTGTAGTTGTCAGGAAAACATCATGGTTTGGGTTACAATAACTTTGTTACTTTAATTACTTCACTTATGTAACTCATGCACTCAGTTACTTCAACTAAAAACAATCAATGTTGACTTTTTGTTTCAAATGTACAATAGTCTCCAGTCACCTGCTTTTAGCTTTTATAAATGATGCTACAGAGCTTCCCTAAGCTGGTTTAACCAGAATATCTCTGCCCACTCTCATACCAGAGGGGCTCTCGGGCCACTGACTTACTTACATAGGGCCTGAAATGCAACCTAAATACTTGCTTAAGTGCCTCTTTTTATTTTCTCCCCTGCCTCTTATAATAATAATAATAATAATCTTTTTGTAGAGCACTTTTCAAAAACAAGTTACAAAGTGCTTTAACAAGTGTAAAGACAATAATACCCAAGAGACAATAATACAAAAAACAATACAAGATAAAAGCATGAAAAACATTGAAAAGACTAAAATACACGTTTAAGA